TAGAGAGAAAATGAAAAATATTCCCTATGCTTCAGCCATAGGCTCTATCATGTATGCAATGTTGTGTACCAGACCTGATGTGTGCCTTGCTATTAGTTTAGCTGGTAGGTACCAAAGTAATCCAGGAGTGGATCACTGGACAGTGGTCAAGAACATCCTGAAATACCTGAAAAGGACTAAGGATATGTTTCTTGTTTATGGAGGTGACAAAGAGCTCGTCGTAAATGGTTACGTCGATGCAAGATTTGACACTGATCCGGACGATTCTAAATCGCAAACCGAATACATGTTTATATTGAACGGTGGAGCTGTGAGTTGGTGTAGTTCTAAACAAAGCGTCATGGCGGGATCTACGTGTGAAGCGGAGTACATAGATGCTTCGGCGACAGCAAATCAAGGAGTCTGGATGAAGGAGTTCATATCCAATCTAGGTGTCATACCTAGTGCATCGGGTCCAATGAAAATCTTTTGTGACAATACTGGTGCAATTGCCTTGGCAAAGGAATCTAGATTTCACAAGAGAACCAAGCACATCAAGAGACGCTTCAATTCCATCCGTGATCAAGTCTAGGTGGGAGACATAGATATTTGCAAGATACATACGGATCTAAATGTTGCAGACCCGTTGACTAAGCCTCTCTCACGAGCAAAACATGATCATCACCAAGACTCCATGGGTGTTAGAATCATTATTGTGTAATCTAGATTATTGACTCTAGTGCAAGTGGGAGACTGAAGGAAACATGCCCTAGAGGCAATAATAAAGTTATTATTTATTTCATTAATTCATGATAAATGTTTATTATTCATGCTAGAATTGTATTAACCGGAAACATAATACATGTGTGAATACATAGAAAAACAGAGTGTCACTAGTATGCCTCTACTTAACTAGCTTGTTGATCAAAGATGGTTAAGTTTCGTGGCCATAGACATGAGTTGTCATTTGATAAACGAGATCACATCATTAGGAGAATGATGTGATTGACATGACCCATTCCGTTAGCTTAGCAGTTGATCATTTTAGTTTACTGCTATTGCTTTCTTCATGACTTATACATGTTCCTATGACTATGAGATTATGCAACTCCCGATTACCGGAGGAACACTTTGTGTGCGACCAAACGTCACAACGTAACTGGGTGATTATAAAGGTGCTCTACAGGTGTCTCTGATGGTACTTGTTGAGTTTGCACAGATCGAGATTAGGATTTGTCACTCTGATTGTCAAAGAGGTATCTCTAGACCCTCTTAGTAATGCACATCACTATAAGCCTTGCAAGCAATGTGACTAATGAGTTAGTTGCGGGATGATGCATTACGGAACGAATAAAGAGACTTACCGGTAACGAGATCGAAATAGGTATTGAGATATCGACGATCGAATCTCGGGCAAGTAACATACCGATGACAAAGGGAACAATGTATAGTGTTATGCGGTTTGACCGATAAAGATCTTTGTAGAATATGTAGGGGCCAATATGAGCATCCAGGTTTCGCTATTGGTTATTGACCGGAGACGTTTCTCGGTCATGTCTACATAGTTCTCGAACCCGTAGGGTCAACACGCTTAACGTTCGGTGATGATCGTATTATGAGTTTATGAGTTTTGATGTACTGAAGGTAGTTCGGAGTCCCGGATATGATCACGAATATGACGAGGAGTCTTGAAATGGTCGAGACATAAAGATCGATATATTGGATGACTATGTTTGAACTTCAGAAGGGTTCCGCGCATGTTCGGACAAATACCGGAGTACCAGGGGGTTACCGGAACCCCCCGGGGAGTGTAATGGGCCTATTGGACCTTACCGCCTTAGTGGAGAAGAGGAGGGGAGGCCAGGGTAGGCCACGCGCCCCCTCCCATTCTAAACCGAATTGGACAAGGAGGGGGGCGGCACCCCCCTTTCCTTTCCCCTCTCTCCTCCTTCCCCCTGCTCCTACTCCTACTAGGAAAGAGGAGTCCTACTTCCAGTGGGAGTAGGACTCCCCCCTTGGTGCACCCTCCTCCTTGGCCAGCCGCCTCCCTCCTAGCTCCTTTATATACGGGGGCAGGGGGCACCCCAAGACCGACAAGTTGATCATTGATCTTTAGCCGTGTGCGGTGCCCCCCTCCACCATAATCCACCTCGGTCACATCGTAGCGGTGCTTAGGCGAAGCCCTGCGTCGGTAGCTTCATCAACACCGTCATCATGCCGTCGTGCTGACGAAACTCTCCCTCGAAGCTCTACTGGATCGTGAGTTCGTGGGACGTCACCGAGCTGAACGTGTGCAGATCACGGAGGTGACGTACGTTCGGTACTAGGATCGGTCGATCGTGAAGACGTACGACTACATCAACCGCGTTGTCATAACGCTTCCGCTTACGGTCTATGAGGGTACGTGGACGACACTCTCCCCTCTCGTTGCTATGCATCACCATGATCTTGCGTGTGCGTAGGATTTTTTTTTGAAATTACTATGTTACCCCAACAGGACACACTCTCCCTTCTCGTTGCTATGCATCTCCTAGATAGATCTTGCATGATCGTAGAATAGTTTTTGAATTACTACGTTCACCAACATATACTTCCTTATTAATCAAGATCTGATTGAGCACAATATTAATGCCAACTCTCCAACAATATAATTCAGGGTGAAGAGGACCTAAATTTTCCAACTCTACCAATACATAGAGTTCCACTCCAAGTTCCTCCTTTCTACTTCTAGCATGGCAAAAGTAATTTGAGCCCTAGCATTTAATGATTTTTATTAATATTTTAATCTTAGTGTGCAGTACATCAATAGAATCTGGTGATCTCATAGGTTCACTACAAATCTTATGAACCAGGGGAAGAAAATTAGCTTTTTTCATCTAATTAACCTCAAAATGAAAGTCCCTCTTTTAGGACATGTAACATGGTTATTCTTGGTGGATGATAAGAGGTGATTATGGTCACAGACATCTCTCGGAAAAAAATTGCCGAGTCATCAAAGGAAAAACGTTCGCCCAATCACTAGGCATGAGGATCCTATAAAGTTTTCTCAAGACTCGGATGCTTTTGATTATTAGTCCATGTGTACTTTCCACCGCTTACAAAAGGTTTTCTCAAACCAGAAGTATGAATGATTGAGTTAAAAAATATCATTATACTGAAAACATTGCATTCTCTTATTCTTATTCCCACTATGCCTCAAGATATTAAAATAACCCCCATAAGAAAAGGAATTTTTACATTACCACAAAAACTAGCTAGCTCTATTAAAAAATCTAACTTAGCATCATCTTGAGCTACCCCATAAACAACAAGTAGGGCCCATCTAGTTTTAACAATTAAATCCTCTAGAATGAGTTGCAAAACATATTTTCCTTTAACATGGGGAACAATATCAACTTTCTCTTTTTTTAACCAACAAAGGACACCACCGGCTCTACCTCTATAAGGAATCCATTCCCAGGTAATCACATAATAGGAATCAACATTGCTGAAATAACTAGCAGAGAACTTTTGACTAGTTTCGTAAACAAATAAAATTTCGGAAATGATCAAAACTAATATAAGAGATACAGGTACACATCCCCTTCTTCCCTGCCCCTCTGCATTTCCACAATAGACCTCTCATTTATATTTCTAGTTATTTTATGTTGTCATGTACTTCTGTTAGGGGAATGGGAAGAATTACCCTCACTTTTAGCGATCTCAACTACAACTTTCTGACTCCTGGTAATAGGTCTATGTACAATCACACACACTTCCTATTTCTTTTTTCTTGGATCTCCTTTATAGTAGAATCATCCATCTCTAAATCTCTCTTAAGGCACTAGGTCATATTAACAGGGGTCTTATCCCCCTTTTCATTGATAAACATTAACTCGTCATCCATGACATCTTGGATAGGATTACTCTTATCATCCAAGTTATTCCTAGATTTATCAAGTTCTCTAACAATATCTATGTAGGAAAAATCATTTCCAGGTACTAAAACACCCATTTTAGTGCCCCTTAACATAAGATCGTTATCAGACAATATATTGAATGCATTAGAACTTTAAATTGGAAGACTACCTTCCAAATTCCTCTTCTTGGTAGCAATTGTAGCCCTCTCATTTACTCTTTTCATATTATTTTGTGCATTTCCCAAGTCGAACCTCAAATTCATCTCAGAAGCTAGCGGAGTAGTAGGGAGGATATCATCAAAAACATCGGGAGAGGTAACTCGATATTGCACCACATAATCAGTAGAGACATCCAGGTTGCTATCATCAGCACAATCCGCCTCCATCACCTGAGGGGTAGAGGTAACAACATCCACAAATGAGTTCCTGATTAGGGGAATTGGATGGATCACATAATTATGTATTTCAAGAACTACCTGGTCCTTGTTGTGCCCAGTAATACCAACACAGGAAACAAAAACTGGATTCCGATGAGACAACACCACTTATGCCGCCCCCTGGATAACCCCAACAAACAGAAACAAGGACCTATCTATGCCCCGGAGATCACCCTCCCGAGGGCCTGAGCGGCCATTGGAGGCCGATGAGAGCGGCGAGCCGGCGAGGGCGTCGACGGAAGGACAAGAAGACGAGTAATCCTCTGGACCGCCTCTCTCGGTGTGGAAGGTTCGAGAAGGACATGGTAACAGAGTTGACGCCGGCCCACAAAGTCGGTCTTGGTTGATCGTGACTTGTCCGGCGCCGTCCTGCTGCGCTGGCGATAGAGACAAGCATATAACAAGTCGCTGGTCGGCCGAAAATTCCTCATAAACTAGAGTCTCGCTCAACCCAATCAACCCAGCGCCAACTTTGCGCGGCCAGTAGACGCCCACGTGCCCTCCCGGGCGCGTCACCAACCCCACCTTCTCCGACCTCCCTCCCCCTCCACCTCAGCTATTTATACAGCTCAGCAGCTCACTCGCGCTTCACACTCACTCGCACACACTCGGTGATTTTCCCGTTGACCAATCAAGCCGAGAAATCCTCCTCAGCGCAGTGGCAGAGCCAGCAGAAGCCACGGGCATGGAGAGCGAAGGCAGCACGAGCCCCAACGGCGGCGCCCCCTGCGCGGTCTGCGGCGGCGCCGCGGCCTTGTACTGTCCGGCGGACGCGGCGGCTCTCTGCGTGCCCTGCGACGCGGCTGTCCACTCGGCCAACCCTCTGGCCTCCCGCCACGAGCGCGTGCCGCTCGCGGCCGCCGTGGCGGCGACCTCCGGCGTCTACGACCTCTTCGCGGCTGACGACGAAGGCGGCTCGTCCTGGCCGGGGCAGGGGAGCCCCAGCAGCGGCTCGTCCGGCTTCAGTAACGGCGGCGGCGTCGAGATGAGCCTGTTTGACCTGCTCTCCGACGTCGACCTCGTGGCCACCGGCGCCGGTGGAAGCATGCTATCGGACGGCCCGTTGTGGCTGCAGCCAGGCCTCGCCGCGGACGCCTCTGCTGCATGGACCTCCTCGTGGTCGCCGGCAGAGGCAGTCGTCGTCCCGTCGGCGGCGGACAGGGCGGAGAGGGTCAGGCGGTACCGCGAAAAGCGCAAGAACCGCAAGTTCCAGAAGACCATCCGCTACGCCTCCCGCAAGGCGTACGCCGAGGCGCGGCCCAGGATCAAGGGCCGCTTCGTCAAACGCCCCGCGGCGGTGTCGGTCGACGACGACAACACGAGCGCCGCCGAGGCGGCGGCCAAATTCTGGCTCTCCTTCTCCGACAACAGTGTAGGGTTCCAAGTTGCATCCCATGGAGTCGTGCCAAGCTTCTAGACGGGCGAAGGTACTTGATCGTGGCAATGGCGTCTGCCCAGCTCGAGACAAAATCCAGCAAAGTGCAGATGCCATGCGCCATGGTCTTCCTGTCGTGTCCGTGTTCCTGTCGTGCCGTCGTTGCAGTCAATATTCATGGTAAAAACCCGCCATCGATTTTTTTTAACTGATGACGCGGGTTTTTCGATCGATGGGCACAATTTCATGTCCATCGGTGAACTAGGCGATTACTGTACTTCCTCGGTTTGTTGTTAGTTTCATGTGCTAAGATAAATAAAGAATCATGCTGAATTCTTGTGGCCACACTGATGTTCATACTCCGCATTTTACCGTTGCCAGTGTTTATGGATAAAGCTTTTTTTTTCTGAGAGCGGCTATTCTGCACCTAGGTGTATCGGCAACTGGATGATATACCCCACATGTTACTGCAGGAATTGATTATTTTTTGATAATATGAGAACTGAAAATACATATTATTTACTGTATTTGATTATTATTTAGTTGTAAAATATTTATTGGATATAATTAAGCAGCTTAATAAAATAGGAATAATCTTTTTCATGCATGATTGCATATTGAAATGTTATATTTGCATGCGCATAAATAGGTTAGTGTATATAGGATGGGAGGTTAATTTAGTCTAAGATAGCTCGTGTGCAGTTGTTCGCATGTAGCTTTCATGGTTTAATTTCCTACGCGAAGATAATAAAGCCAATGTGATTTTTGTATGAACAGATAGCTAGCCATGACGACTCTATTTATATTTAATTAGCGTATAGAGATGTGACTCTATCATTGGTGCTTAGTTTAGGTTGTCTGCTAATAATGATTGCTAGTATCTTTACAATTTGGGAGTGCCCCGAGTTCGAAAATAGTAATCCGGGTGTGCCTGAGTCTATGCGCGCTCGTACTGTGGAAATGGTTGCTTATGCATTTGTTGGGTCACTGAAAACGACAACGACCATGACATTTTCAATTTCCTAAATATGAAACTGGGGTGACAAAGGATGACTATGTAGACGATATTTATTTAATGATAGTGAGGTATGTGGGGTTTATGATTGCCTAATGCTCCACAAAACAATTAAGTTGAAGTTGTGCCAGTATGGGACTGGTCGACAGATTTATGCAGGCCTATGCATGATTCTAATTACATTGCACTTTCTTTTTGTCTTGGAAGAAAAATGACGAGAATTCATCAAAGTACTACAAGAACTAGAGTAAATAACATAAAACTATACCATTATATAGCAGGTTAGGGTTTAAAAAATCTACAACTTTTAAAACTGAGTATGATTATGAAGATTGGGCCTACTCATCAGGTTCAGATGGCATCTAAATGTCAATTCCGCTTGGTTGACCATTAAATTGGATGTGGGCTCACATGTCAACTTCTTATTTACCCCTTCTTCCCTTCCTTTCCCGGCATTGGTGACCCCCTTCTCCTCCGGCATTGCGTCCATGCACTATAGAAAAACAAACATTAGCAGCGCCGCCCAAGGCGGTTATGTATGTATGTCCCAGAGCCGCCTATAATATTCCAGCGGAGATGGCCATATCTATGGTCAAGGCGGTTGGAAATTTGAAATGACCTATAGTAAAAGCCGAAGGTGGTGGTGATTTTGAAACCGCGCATATTGTGTGAACATTGGAGGCGGTTTTAGAAATGAAAGCGCCTACGATACTTCCACCACCTATCTACGTAACTAATCCTCCCGCCACTCACTTTCTCCACTCCTACTCGAAGAAATGGATCTGTCTCCGTCACATCCGCCGGGCCACCGCCATCGTCGCCAGTGATGCTAGTGTCCGACTCCGAAAAGGCCTCTGCGGCGGCGCCCAAGACCGGACCAAAGAAGCGACATGCGACCCATCGTACCGGAGGGATGAGGCTAGAGGCGAACAAGCGTTGAAAATACGTATAGTAGTATCGTGTATATACTAGCAAAACTTAGTACCTAATTCCAACAACCATTTTATGATCAAAATAATGTATTTTCATATGGAATCAGGCTGTTCTTTTCCACTTTCATGCATCTCAATGTATTAAATAAAACCGAGTATTGCATTAGGTGTTGGGCCCTCGAGTGCAAGAGTTTGCAAGCCGCAATTTCCCTGAAGTGGATGAGCTTAAGGTTTATCAAACCAATAAGAGCTGCAAAATAACCAATTATCAACATAGGCACACACAAATACAAAAATCCTTTGTCCCCTAACGAAACTAAGGTTGTCAATCTCACTAAGTTTGCTAGTTATAGGGACTGAATGCATGAGTGTATGGAAGATTTGATTGCAGCAAGAAAGTAAATGTAAGGAATTGTAAAAGAGTGTTCGATCGAGGTTCAAAGAAATAGGAAGAAGAATGAACCAGTGTCCATAGGTTCACTAGTGGTTTCTATCCAAAAGATAGCATGGTAAGGTGAACAAACTACAGTTGCATATCGATTAAATTTTTGTTTTTATAACTACAATAACTATCCATTTCATAATAAACATATGAGCATCACGTCCCAATATCCGTATACCACTATCCAACTGCATCTATATCTATTACTCCACCCAAGACCGCTATCCAACATGTATCTAAAAGTATTAAGTAAACAATAGAGTATTTCATTAAGTATGTGTCGTCGTGGGCGCACAACAGATGCCACAGGGTGGCTAAAGAGAGGGATAGGCGAGAGGCAATCGGTGGGCTCCAGAGGCAAGGTTGGCACGAGCGAGCGGGAGACGCAAGACGTACCCAGGTTAGGGGCTCTCCGGAGAGATAATACCCCTAGTCCTACCGAGTGTGGTTTATATGTGGAGTGTGTAACAGTATAGAGTTGCTTCTAGAGCTGTATTTAGAGAAGACAGAAGAGAGCTATCAGCTGCTAGTCTCCTGTACGCGAGTGTGTATGGAGCCTTGTGGCTATGTGGGTGCGGATGGATGTTGCGGCCAAATGTGACCGTGGGTGTGTGGCCAGCCCCCTTGGTCAAGTATGTGCCTTCTTGGCCAAGGGGATGACTCCTTCTCCAAGGAAATGCTCCCCTGGGTCACTTTATAAACTAGTGCCCAGGGACAAGTAGCACTGTACATGATGTTGCACATGACGAGTGAACAGTGTATGATTTATCAGCAACAGTGGCCACGGTATGACTGAAGGAAATATGCCCTAGAGGCAACAATAAAGTTATTATTTATTTTCTCATATCATGATAAATGTTTATTATTCATGCTAGAATTGTATTACCCGGAAATATAATACATGTGTGAATACATAGACAAACATAGTGTCACTAGTATGCCTCTACTTAACTAGCTCGTGAATCAAAGATTGTTAAGTTTCCTAACCATAGACATGAGTTGTCATTTGATTAACGGGATCACATCATTAGGAGAATGATGTGATTGACTTGACCCATTCCGTTAGCTTAGCACTTGATCGTTAAGTATGTTGCTATTGCTTTCTTCATGACTTATACATGTTCCTATGACTATGAGATTATGTAACTCCCGCTTACCGGAGGAACACTTTGTGTGCTACCAAACGTCACAACATAACTGGGTGATTATAAAGGTTCTTTACAGGTGTCTCCAAAGGTACTTGTTGAGTTGACGTATTTCGAGATTATGATTTGTCACTCCGAATGTCGGAGAGGTATCTCTGGGCCCTCTCGATAATGCACATCACTATAAGCCTTGCAAGCAATGTAGCTAATAAGTTAGTTGCGGGATGATGCATTGAGTAACGGGTAAAGAGACTTGCCGGTAACGAGATTGAACTAGGTATTGAGACCGACGTTATAATCTCGGGCAAGTAACATACCGATGACAAAGGGAACAACGTATGTTGTTATGCGGTTTGACCGATAAAGATCTTCGTAGAATATGTAGGAGCCAATATGAGCATCCAGGTTCCGCTGTTGGTTATTGACCGGAGACGTGTCTCGGTCATGTCTACATAGTTCTCGAACCCGTAGGGTCCGCACACTTAAAGTTAGATGACAGTTATATTATGAGTTTATGTGTTTTGATGTACCAAAGGTTGTTCGGAGTCCTAGATGTGATCATGGACATGATGAGGAGTCTCAAAATGATCGAGACATGAAGATCGATATATTGTACGACTATATTTGGACACCGGAAAGGTTCCAGGTGAGATTGGGACAATACCGGAGCTCCGGGAGGTTATCGGAACCCCCCGGGAGGTATATGGGCCTTAATGGGTTTAGTGCAAAGGAGGGGAAAGGAGCAAGGGAGGGGGCGCCCCCCCAAGCCCAATCGAAATTGGGAGGGGGGCCGCCCCCCCTTTCCTTCCTCCCTCTTTCCTCTTCCTTCCCTCTCCCTCTCCAAATAGGAAAGGGAGGAGTCCTACTCCCGGTGGTAGTAGGACTCCCCCCTTGGGCGCGCCTCCTCCCATTGGCCGGCCCCCTCCTCCACTCCTTTATACACGGGGAGGGGGGCACCCCATAGACACAACAATTGATCATTGATCTCTTAGCCGTGTGCGGTGCCCCCCCTCCACCATAGTCCTCCTCGATAATATCGTAGCGGTGCTTAGGCGAAGCCCTGCATCGGTAGAACATCATCATCGTCACCACGCCGTCGTGCTGACGGAACTCTCCCTCGACACTCGGCTGGGTCGGAGTTCGAGGGATGTCATCGAGCTGAACGTGTGCAAGAACTCGGAGGTGCCGTGCTTTCGGTGCTTGATCGGTCGGGCCGTGAAGACGTACGACTACATCAACCGCGTTGTGCCAACGCTTCCACTTTCGGTCTACGAGGATACGTGGACAATACTCTCCCCTCTCGTTGCTATGCATCACCATGATCTTGTGTGTGCGTAGGATTTTTTTGAAATTACTACGTTCCCCAACAGTGGCATCCGAGCCAGGTTTTATGCGTAGATGTTATATGCATGAGTAGAACACAAGTGAGTTGTGGGTGATACAAGTCATACTGCTGACCAGCATGTCATACTTAGGTTCGGCGGTATTGTTGGATGAAGCGGCCCAGA